TTGAACTGTGCTATATACATACAATTCACTGAGTAATATAAGTGAATACGTTGTTATAATATAATATTCCCAATTATTTTAATGAAAATTTTTTTTCATTAATTATTTATGAAAATATAGATTATTATTTAACATAAACCATATAAATCAAAGTTTCACACTTTGTATAAAGTTCAAAAAAAACGTTCGAAAAACGTTCATCAAAATTTCAAAATTTTCATTCAGAATTTCTAGAAAATTTTAGAGTATGCAGTTTTGTAGCCCGTTCAATTTTAGTAAAACAAAGTGCAAGTTCAAAGTCGCTCGGAATTACCGTTGTCTTTTTAGATTTTTTTTTTGTGGAGGGTGTTGCGCATTTTCTTCCATACAAAAATAGACAAAAAAATTCTACAAAATTAATGGTTGAAACATGAAAAAAATTTTCATGAAAATAGTTGGAACAAGGTGTACACTTACATACATTTGACACTGACTGTATGTGTGTATATATCGCTCGTTTCCTGGAAGATTGTCATAATCTAAAATGGCTTTTCTTTTATGTTGTGTCAAAATTAGGGTCAATTGTGCAGCTTTACTCATTTTCACTTTGGTTAGCAAATATAGCAGGAAAGTAATAGGAAAACATTGACCAAAAGCTTTAAAGCCGTTTTTTGTTTTGTTGAGTTATGAATATCTTCCAGCAAGAAAGGGATTTGTACCTAAAAAATATAAAAACTTTTTTTGCATACATAGATGTTTATGGCGGTACGCGCCTAAACATATGTACATATTTAGACCTATGTATTTGTTCGTTAAATTTTAAATTTTTGCAGCGCCAATTCCACTTGCATTGCAATGCATTCGCGCCTCTCGTCGAATATCTCTTGGACAAGCATTTGCTTTTTGTGTTCCAATAAGGTGTTCTCGCGTATATAGTGCTCTATTATTTTTTCGTAATCACCATCGCCACCAGCCGCAGCATCGTCTGAGGCTACATTTGCACAATTTGCAGCCAATAGCTGTTGATGTTGTTGTTTTAGCCTTAATACTTCCGCTCTTTCTGCAGTAATACGCGCCTGTAATTGATTCTTCCAAGCAAGTAACTCCTGACTTTCTAATTGCAATCTAATTAGTTCAGAATATTCAGGATGTGTCTTAGGTACCATTAGGAAGGAAGAATCTTCATCAATGTAAAATCCATCAGGATGTGTACCATCTACTGCAAGTTGCGATTCTTCCGAATGGATGACATTTTGTGGTTCATTTTGCAATACGTCATTTGCTTCATAATCTACATTGTCGTGGGTTAAAGAACTCCTTGTTGCAGTTGTTTCCGGTGACTCAGTAGTAAACTTGGTATTAGTTTTAATTTTAGTTTCGTCTTTAATAAACTCGGGTTTTATGGGCGTTTTGGCCGATCCATTAACGAGGGGTGCATCACAACCTTGAAGTGGTTGGGTGGATTTTGAGTCAGTCGTGTCACTGCTATTGGGTAGTGTACATGTGCTGGCTGTTTGTGACTCTTCCATTGACTTTTCGTGTCGCTTCTCAAAGCTGCGTAATTTGCGTTTAAGTTGAGTAATTATGCGTTGCACTTCCCATAGCTGTTCCTCGCGTTTTTTGGAAACAAAACCAGCATTCATTTCTGCGTGAATTTGAGCTAGTAAGCTTTCTTGTTTGCGTAGCTCTACTTGAATATCTTCCGGAGTTTCTGGGAGTTTCGGACTTGATGCTGTTATTGGAGGAACATATCTGTATGAAAGAATAAGTCAACAAAAATTTTATCTTAATTCCATATTTTCTACTTTATGATCATTTTGACGAGTCTGTAAAGGCGATGCGGTTTTCGTCTTGACAACATACTGCTTGTTTGAAGCAACAATCTATTCTTAACTTATTTTACATTTTAAAACAGATTTTTTCTATCTTATCAAGATGTTCGAGATCTTCTCAGTTTTATTTAATTTACTTACTTGATAAGAGTCATATCAGCAAACAAGATCACACTTTGAGATAACAGCGCAACCAACAGCCGGTGTGACATCTGCATCGGCGGGCTTAACAGCATTGCCAACGATTCGGTTGTTAGTTTATTATGTTTACCATGTAGAATAACCGCGTTAAAGTGGAGTTGAATCCATGATAACAGTGTTCGGTTGCAGCTGGGAAGTAGTTCAAGTAGTTGTTTTAGCTCCTCCTGTTGTTTGCTCTGCGAACTAATTGATGCCGCATCTTCAAAACGTGATATCAAATCCGTGGTTAAAATCGGTTCAGGTAATTCACTAAAATAGACACAAAAATTACAAGTAAAAAAAAAATAACATAGAAGATACAGTTTAACTTTAACATATGAAAGCATTGTAATATGTACCGTAAAAACAATTTCAACAGCGCGCAGGCCGTTGGTATATCCAATTCATCTGTTTCTGGTTGCCTTTCTCTATTATTATACAGACGCTTGAAATGTTGGATGCGTGTTTTTAACGGTTCTACTTTATAGATTTGATCACTTTTAAGAGCGTGCTCTTGAAGGTAGTCTATACAATCGCGCACCACAAGCGGTAGGTCAACACCGTCATGACAGCGGCTCCGTTCCGTGGCTAAACTAACTGAAACTCCGAAAACTGGCTGTACGTCGCCCAATTCAAGTACTTCCACAGATACATTGTTTACTTGTTTTGCCTTCTTGTCCTTTTTGTCTTTATCCTTTTCTTTATCTTTTGATTTTTCCTTCTTTTCTTTTTCCTTGCGCTCCTTATCTTTCTTCTTATGATCCTTTTCTTTTTCCGTCTTTACCTTTTCCTGCGGTTTTTCATCTTCCCGTGCCTCCTTCTCCGACTTTTCCTTATCACGCGACTTTTCACGCTTCTCTTTACTTTTTGAAGAAGCAAATTTGAATGCCTTTGATTTTTTGGATTTCGATGGACTTCTACAGAGACATTAAAAAATATCATACTTTTCCACAGACAGAAAACTTACTTGGCATCCAAATCCTCCTCTGGAGAGCTTTCTCCCTCCAACGCCGCATAACCGCGGTCTTTGCCTTTATCTTTCTTGTCCTTTCTTCTACCAATAAGCAAGTCCTTTTTACTTAATTTATCATGGTCGCTTTCGCTATCTGCAAACATATTTGAATTTCTTATTAAACAGATTTAATTTATTTTCAATTTGCAAAATGCCGACTTACAATCGCTATCTTCTTTGCTCTTTTTCGATTTTCCATCTCCACCCTCAGAGGCATACAGCCCAGGAAAATCTTTTTCCACATCCGGACTGTCGAAATCCATTATTTATTTACGGTATGAGTGTTTTATTTATTAATAAATAAACAAGAAAATTATTTACCGTAGAGAACTTCACAGTTTACATTTTTCTCATTTGTCAACAGAACAGCTGTTAATTGACAACATCGCTCCCAATAATCGATGAAAGTTTTATCGGACACAGTGCAGCAAACACGTAAAGGCATAGAACAAAAGGAGCCTTGACTCACTACCCTATAAGAATTTGGTGATGGAAACTAAAACTATGTTCACATATCAATATTATCTCAATCAAAGCTCGTTTTTTAATCACCCCGTTTACACAGGCAAATCTCAGATTATTAGCCGTCAAATTTGTTGTGCTTGTTATTCTCACATCTCAAGGGAAATTTATGTTTCTTCTCTGTGCCACCGTGATCACGTTTTTCTTCTCTAATTTGCAATATAAATATATTTTAACTTAACATTTTATTAAAAATACCTTTACAAACCTCTTTTACTTGCTAGCGTACATTTTTGTTTACTTTTACATTTGGCATTTCTCCTCTCTTTCGCAAAAACAATCGATAAAACTAGGATGGACACCGAAAAGTTATCGGTTAAATCTGAGATTATTTTATAATTACAGATTAACAAGGTACGAATTTTATATGGCTAATCTCTTGTTATAATTACAGATTAGGGTGTTAAGCTCGAAAATGAGGATAATCGACTTATATGTGAACCTGGTATAACATTCTCATATATCTTACTAACACATTTGCAAATTTTGCGTTGGTTAAAAAGGTTAAGGTTATAGTTAAGGCCATAAGTTGAAAGAAGATAAAATATCACATGTGTACATTTGTTTTCATCATTTTTTGCACATTGGCATTAAAAACGTCATGGGAGTGTTTGATGGATATTTCCATCTGTAGGGTAATTAAACTGTATGTTTTTGCACTTGCTTAAATTCCTGAAGTTAAATTTATTGTTTTATGAATTGATTTGTTGTTGGAAAAGAAAACTTTTGATTATTAATAAATAAACTTTTAACGCGATCAAATAATAAAAAAAAAATTAAATTTTAAACAACAAAATCAGCCTTATTCCATGTGAATAAATCGTTCCCATAATTTAGCCTGTTAAAAACATATTGGAGTGGACTTGTTGACATTAACCGTGTAAACAGACAAAAAATAGTATCGGAAAGTTTGATTTTCAGAAATAAAAACAGCTCGAAAGCCACCTAACATGCAAAGTGTAACTGCTCCTGCAATCTGTTTTGGAAATTCTTCAGTTTGAGAGACTTTTGTAAAGGACTTGCACTTGTCACGTCTTACAGCTACTTAACAGCATACAAATTCACCAAAATTTGACACTTCTTTTGGTCTTCAGCTTAGGATTGGTCTTAATTTTCGGCTTCGCATCGATCGTGTTAGCAATTTTAAGCTGATGCCTATTTGACTGGTGAAAATTGCTGTGGATTTTATATATTTAGTTTCAAGAATATCAGCAGTGTAATTAAATTTTATGCCCCGTAGTTTTAGAGTCAAAATAAAGCGACTCTAACAAAGATGGCGTCGAGATTTCGGCAGCTAGAAAATAACTTTTCTCTTTCTTTCCTTCCCGCGTGATCTTGTGTCTTTCGTTCATGGAGTTTTCCATTATCGCTTCGCGCAGCAGCTAAAACAATATATGGATGTGGCATGCGCTGTGCATTTTCATAAATTTTATCTTATCTGTCAAAAAAGCGTTTTTCTGCCATCAGACGAAAAATCGCTCTTAACGAAACCACAGCCTTATTTGTTGAGCGACGATTCGTCAGCTGTTGTTATTTATGTATTTCGATAGTTGTTGACGAATTATTTGGAATCAACTTTTAATTACTCCTAGGTATATCGATGGAATCTGATTTACGAATTAAATAATTTAAAAGCTAAAATAGAAAAAATGTTATTAAATCTAAAGAAAGAACAACGTGAGCATTTGCAGTTGTTGCACCAGCGGTCTCCTGATGATATTGTAGAGCTGTGCAAGTCTGCTTTTGAATACTTGAGTTACGGCCCCAACATTCCACGCTATCAGCAACTTGCCAAAAAAATATGTTTCAAATCCAGAAGAAGTTCAGCATGCAGTTGAAGCACTTATTGCCTTGCTTATTGATGCTACTAAGGCCAATGCTAGTGAAATTGACTTAAAACAATTGCAACAAGAGGAAGGCTATAATGATAACATTATAGAAGTGCTAACTCAATTTGTGCACAGCAAACATCACTTTATCGAGGGATCCATTAAGTCTGCGAATATACGAGCATATCGGTTGGTAAATATTGAATGGCGATTGGAGGTACGTATAGCAACACGCAGTCTTTTAAGACAAAACAGTATACGCGTAACAATGAAGTTATTTCTACATACCGAACCTAAAAATGAAAACAGAGATTTGCTAGAAGTTGGCGAGCAGCAAGCAATTCATCCGGACGAGCAACGAAACCGAAAGGATCTGCTTGTGCAGACAGATTTGAGTAGCCTGGTGTACATTATACAAGTATTAGAAAACGCTCTTTATGAATCAAAGAGTAGACGCATACGCAATATAGTTAGTGCAATACATTAAATACATTAAATGTACGTTTCGTCGATAATGAAAACTTTTTAAACGTATGTGAATCAATTTTAAAACTTTTATTAAAATCTAGCATATAAAAATTATATACATATACTATTCTGTATTGTTTAATAGCTCTCGAGCGGCTGCTTTTATCAATTCTTTTTTCTTTTGTCTGCTCTCTCGTTTTTCCTCCGGAGTTTTCTTCAAACCCTTCACGCGTCGCGTTTGTATCTTCGTCACATTCTGTTTTCCCAAATGCACACGACCATGTGTATTTCCCAGTTCATCGAAAGTAAGGTTCTTCTTCTTCTTTGGCTGCAATTGTTTAGGTTGCTTTCTTGCCTGTTTGTACAGATCCTCCGATGCAATTTTTGTGCGTCGGATCGAAAAATCTGCAGAAGGTCCAATTTCTACTAGTTCAATGCGCGGGGTCTTTTGGCCGGATTTTTTCAGCATTATCTTATAGGATCGCATCAGAATGGCCAAATCTTCGGTACATGTGAAGCTTATAACATGTTCAATTCCCTGGAGACGAATAGCGTCCACTTTATCCTTATGGAATGTATCTAAAAGCAAATTCCGAAAACGACGCAATTCCTCAGTTTGATTCCAACGTGGCCCATTAAATATTAAACATGGTTTAACATTTGTTCCAATTTTTTCGGTTTTGAACTCCGACATTGCCGTGTAATGTTTTATACCCAATTCTATCATATCCAACACCTCATTTTCAAAAATGCGTCCAAGTACCAAATTATTTGGGCGCTTTTTAGACGTTGAGCCAAATGCAAAAAGAGCACAATCATTTTTCATAGTCAAACTTAAAAAAAAGATATCAGGAGGGGTTTGTTAAAGGCCATAAAAGACTCACAATTCCAAAGAAGAAGGGTCATCAAAAGGTGTAATGTCATTTTTACGGTTTAGCACTTTTAGCAGAGGCTTGCGCAGTTGTTGCAGGTCCTTCATGCATGATTTTATATCTCCGCCACATTTGCGTCCATCGACAAAGAGCATATTACGAGTGGACTCTATAAGCTGCGGCTCCCGCGCCACCAATATTTTTTTACCCTTGCGAGTTTTCGGTTTCCTAATTAATAAAATTTTAAATGTTTGCATAATTATCTGTCTTGAAGTATTTACCTAATCCGCATTAAAGACATGTCGATTTGTTTTTAAATCTAAGCGAAAAATAAAAAATATTTGTATTCCGGCCGTTGCACGTGTTGACAAGATATGATATTTAAAATAGGGATGTCGGAAAAACATCGATGCATAGAAAATATCGATGTTTTGCTTCAATACATCGAAAATTTTACACTTGATGTATAAATAGTCGATGTATCGTCTCCATCGATGTTTCTCCAGTTCTATTTTATTGCGAAAAAGGAAAAGGCGTATGTAATCTAAAAAATGCATAGTCAATAAAAAATAAAAGGTAAAACTGTATGAAAAGAAATAAGTAAAATAGTGAAAATTTAATAAATTGAAGTGAAGCTTTAGAATGGGAAAAACCTCTAAAGACAAGCGAGACATTTACTATCGATTAGCCAAAGAAGAGGGCTGGAGAGCTCGGAGCGCTTTTAAACTTTTGCAGATCGATGAAAAGTTCCACATTTTGAAAGGTATTGTTGCAATGGTTTCGTTTTCATAATTTTTACACAGAATTTCTTTGTTTACAAGATGTCACACGCGCTGTAGACTTGTGCGCTGCTCCCGGTAGCTGGACGCAGGTGCTTTCCAAACGTCTCTATGAAAATCGTACTAACAATGAGGAGGTCAAAATTATCGCAGTAGATTTGCAAGCAATGGCACCATTGCCTGGAGTTACGCAGCTTCAAGGTGATATAACAAAATTAAGCACTGCCCAGGCAATAATTGACCATTTTGGTGGTGAATCACAAAAGGCACAACTGGTTATTTGTGATGGCGCACCTGATGTTACTGGTCTACATGATATCGACGAATACATTCAAAGCCAGTTGCTGCTAGCTGCACTTAGTATAACCACACACGTGCTAATGACTGGAGGAAATTTCGTGGCTAAGATTTTCCGCGGTAAAGACACAAGTTTACTTTACTCCCAGTTGCGCATATTCTTCGAGAAAGTATCAATTGCCAAACCTGCAAGCTCGCGTAATTCTAGTATTGAAGCGTTCGTCGTGTGCCAAAACTATCGATGTCCAGATGGCTACATTCCACAAATGATCAATCCTATGGTCGACGATGTGCAAATGATAGTTAATGCAACCGACTCGAAAGTAAATCAAAAACTTATACCGTTTGTTGTGTGCGGTGATCTAAGAGGCTTCGATTCGGATATGTCGTACAGTTTGAATGTGAGTATTGAGACAAAAATAGCTCTATTTGATGAATATAAAATTAATGTAACCGATTTCTTACTTATGTAAAGCTAAATGAGGATTCGGAGTACACGTACAGAGAAGTTGTTCAAAAACCTATTTCTCCTGCTTACAAAGAAATATTGGACAAACTTAAAAATTGTTCTATTAAACATACAGCCATCACTGTTAAGCATGACGATGAAGCAGATGTCACTGAATCAGAACCTGCAGTATCAAATGACGATCCAGAGATGAAGTGAATGTACATGGTCCGATGAATAGCATTTAAGGTTAAATGTGTCTGGCTCTTAATAGAAATATCTTCCACTAAACTTGTGTTCTTGGGCATCATATAATCATAAATACTTATACATATTTGTTTAACAAAACAAATAATTTTTAAGCAAAAAAAAACCGACTTCAATGCTCATATAAAGATTTAAGATTATCGTGATCCAATGATCGGATTTAAAGCAAATTAGTATGGGACCACCTGCGAGGTAACATTTAAAAAAAAATAAAAAATTATAGAAATCGGTTAACGTGATTCAAAGTTGTGCGGTAACATACATAAAACAAAAAACAACATTCCGTCGAATTGATAACCTTCTCCTTTTCGTAAAATCGGTTAAAAAATCAAATACATACATACATGCCAATTCTTAATACTCCCGGGGAGATTGTTCTCCGGGAATTTGTTTCTGCCGAGAAAGAAATCCCCCAATAATTAACCCCCAGGAGTAGCATTTTCCCCGAAAACTTATGAGGAGGAAATTCGAACTTCGGAAAAGCTTTTTTGAGAGCTCAACTCCGCCATTTAATATAAAAAATCCTCAAGGAATTTTTATTCATGATAGAAGGAAAGGATAAGAGAAAACTCCCGGGAAGTTTCTGTTCAGAATCGGGGTAGATATAATATATAACTACATACATACTTAAACATAAGTATACATATGTAAACGCGTATGGTCGGCATGCGAGCGCTCCAAATCGAATATAGTAGTTTCATACATATTCGCACTTGTTTAGCGCGATCAAAATCGCGTGAGTGCAAAGTAGCAGTGCCTTGTATTTTAAAAAGTAATGGTAGAAATATAAGACACCGATGTCTTTCGTTTACTTCGATCATAGTACATATGTATCTGTAAGTTTAATATTTACACCTTTTCAATTTTGCACAGTTACTGAGTCGGATCTTTGTACTGTGGAACTGCTGCTTTCGGCGGGTTTAATTCCGTATTTATAGACTTTGTTTAGGCCCTCAGGAAAATCAGGCAGTAGGTTGTTAAAGTTCTCCACAGGTTGAGTTTGTTGTTCCGTCCAAATGCCATCTCCAGTAAAATGGAATTCGCATTCGATTAAGTAAATAATGAGTGTGAGCATTTCATGGTTATCCAAATAAAAAATGCTGTTCACCGGCAGTTTTAATTCTTCCAGAACTTCTGGGTTTTGTAATTGCATAAGCTTCTCTTCTATCCGTTGTCTGCGAATTAGGAAATTTTGCAAATTAATTTTTTTTTTTTATAAGAAATATTCTGAAAATGTTAAATCTTACATGGGGTATAATAATACGTGGATGTTATCATAAATGGCCGATATTGGAAACTTTTTCGATTGTAAAAAATCAAAACACTGCTTTAGTTGCAACACCGGTATGTGACACCAATTTGGATGTCTTGCAAGTAATGTCCGCACATCATTTTCGTCTTTCTTCAAAATGTTTGCCAAATAAACTACAACATCACGGCCTTTAGTGCGATCGGTTCCCTCGCGTGCAAATCTGTAAAAGCAAAGAAAAATTTTATAAGGATAACATTTTTTTTAAGATACGTAGGCACAACATACTTGGCAAACTTTTCCGAGCCCCCTGATAAAATGTGTAACGAGGCACAACGCACCTTTAGCTGATTCAGGTATTCTAGGCGCAAACGAGCTTTGTTTTGGTAATGTACCAGCCGAAGAACACGTGGGTTGGTGCCCAACACTTTGAATTCCTCAATGGTGTGCAGGTCTTTCAGTCGTTCCAATACTGTATCCGATCCAAGTGTCAATATTTCCAAACATTTTATGACTGCCGATTCAGAAATGCCATAAGCTTTTACATGTTCAAGTGTTTTCAACAATCCATCACAGGAAGACATTAATATCTTCGGACGTCGATAGACAATATCGCGCATATCCTGCCCATCTATGCTTACAATTTCTTTGATAATGCGCCGAATATTATCCGCATCACCATATAATAGGTAAGCATTTTTAATTATACGCTCTTTTGGAAATCGTAGATCTTCGAGCAGCACCTGCACTACTGATTGGACTGATTTGAAACTGCGGTGGCGCACACGGTGGTACACTTGCCATAGTTTTTTAATGTCGTTGTCGTTCATATCTAAACGTTGCCGCAGATATGCATTAAGTATGCATTCTCGTAAATATTTTAAATGTATTGCTTCGTTTAAATCCTTAAATCTTTCGGCGGGTAGCTCCAGATCATTGAAACTGTTACATAAGTTTTCCAATACATTTGCTTCGAATGGGATATATCCATGGGATTTCAACATAGAAACTGTCTTATTTAAAACAGTTATGTATTTCGACAACAACACCAGAGTGATGGGTTGAAAACCACACTCATGAAGAACTTGGTAACGATTCTCGACTGTTAGGGCATTTTGATAT